TTTTCTGTTAAGTTCAATTACCTTGCAGGTTGCTGCAATGTTGTCTTTTTCTTCTCGCTCTCTCTCTCTCTCTCTCTCTCTCTCTCCCTCTCTCTCTCTCCCTCTCTCCTCTTGCCTCATAGGGCACATGTTTAGATCATGAATTGTTCTGCCCAGACTGAAGGAAATGAAAAAAATGTAAAATGAGAAACATGGTAGTCTTGAATACATTGCTTGCCATGAGTTTGTTACTTGTGTCGTTTTAAGTAGACATGGTCAAAGATGTTTAACATCACTTTTGCTCTGTCCAAAATGAAATGGTGTTTACAGAGAATTGTATTGCTGAATCATCGTCGTCAAACTCTACCTAGATCTATAGTATGCACGTTAGGTTTCAAGTAGTCAAAACAACATGCTCAGACATTCGTGCATACATTTATTTTCCCAATAGGCCATTTTCATAATGTAATTAAATTCAATGTGCAAGTCTTTGTTAATTGCTGTTACAAATTATTTCATGCACCAGTTACAAATAATTGTATTTTAATTGGCAGCATGCGAATTTCATACATTTCTTATTGTTACAGGTAAGACAAGCCATGTTGTTTGTTCTACCGTGTCGCAATTAATGTATTCAATTCGCGCATTCTGACTTTTGAAATATAATTATAATTATTCATAACGGGTGAACGAAATGATTTGTATGGAGCCACTTAACAAAAATTTGTGCATTAAATTTGATTACAATGACAAAAATGGTCTATTGCAACTAAAATGTATGAAGCAACATTTACAAAAGATTTACAAAAGACTTCCCAGAAAAAAAATTATCGTAAAGAATATGTGTATGGATTCTTCTCTTTCTACGAATGTACTTATATATACAGGTACGTGGATTACAAATTCCCAAATAGCTCATGTGAACAAAAAGCACTCATAACAATGTACATTTGCAGACCTGTACATTACAATGAGACTCATTAGTATTGCATTAGGTCATTTTAAAATCAACCGCTACAATTGACGACCTGATTCAATCATACTTCCCCAGTGTAATGGAAAGGAAAGCAGTATTAAAGACCCCGACCTCCTCTCCAGCGCGAGCCATTATTCCCGATTTATCGTTGGCATGGCATGAATCCTCTTCCCTCGATGTGCTGAACGGCCTTGATTTTCAACTCATCACCGGTTGGAATGGAAGCACAATCTGAGGCTTATTACATTAGGGCAGTACTAATATTATCCAGCAGTCGCTTTATTGTGAATGCTAGGTGAGCCACTCACCGGTGGCAATGGTGCATGTAGCTGCTTTTCCATGTAGTACCTAATGTACTGCAATGAATTGCAGAAATGTGGCTTTTTAATAAATAGTTTAAAAGGGATTTTGTAGAAGCTCAGAATGTACATTTGTAATGCAATGACTTGCAGAATTTTTATTTTGTTTAAATATAAAAAGGGATTTTCTGAAAGTGTTTGCTGTTGTTAGCAGCTCGATTCTGTAGGCATACATGGAGACGAATTTTGTTCCTTTTTCTTTATTTCATAGTCAAAGTTTCCCCCTTCTCTCTGTCTCTCTCCCTCTCCCTCTCCCAACCCTTAATGTACCGGTGGCTCTTTCTCTCTTTCCCCCTCTCCTTCTCTCACTCTCTGCTTAGTTGTATTCCATTTTCTCTATGACATTGTGCATGCATTTCATCTCTTCAATCATCAGAATTGAAGTGAACATGTAATTGTTGATTTCTGATTTTGTGGAAAATCATTTAATTTATTCGTCTGGAGTGACTGTACCATGTAATCTGCTTGGAAAGGAATTCATTATTGGAGGCTCAGTTCGTGAAAATGGGGGTAATACTAAAAGCATTGATTTTACATGTACTGTACATATACTGTATGTGCTTGTAGGCAGTTGATAAAAGCTTTCTTTCAAAACAACCCTGAACCTAACCAATTAAGAAAGCATTTTTATTTTCATCTCATTAAATTTCAACACTCAACCAATAAGACTCTTTCTTCAACCAATGACCATTCTGCAGTAATTCTGCGTATACCGGTACATGCATTTTCAAGAGACTGTGCAGTGTGTGCTGTACACCTGTGTCACATTCATATACATGTACTTGTAGAATTTAATAATACATGCACATGTACATGCATGTAAATGGTATGTACAAATGTTTAGTAGTTAATATGGAGTGTACCGGTATGTAAATCTTATTTCCAGCAATTTTGTTTATCTGTACCTTCTGATGCAGAGGTCTGCATTTAAATCATCTGAAAAACTTTTAACAATCTCAAGTTTGTTATTATGATTTCCGAGGGGATTTAGTCTGTTTTCATTTCCTGATCATGCTTATGCCATTCCGCATGGTGAGTTAAACTATTCATACTTCTGTCATCTTTCATTTTGTGATTTGGACGTTTTGAGCATGATCACATCAGACTTGTAGCATCCTCGTGAGGCAACTCTAGAACAGTTTGAATGGTGGGGGGGGGGGGGATGCATTTTATTTTTTCATACATAACAAGCTACGAAAGCTTGCAAAGAGGTCACAAACAATTAGACTTTGATTATTTATCGCTTTGCCTCACTATTTATAAAGGCAAAACAACTGAATAAAAACTGAAATTCGAACCCTCAAGTCAACTCCAAAGTTCTATCAGTAATACCCTGGTCTTTACCGGTTGAGCTAACGATGGGTTGATAAAAGGTTGATTTGTATAATAACTATCACCTGACCCTATTAACAACCCTACCGGATTCCATGTGCGCATACGCTAGTTTCCCTCGCGAGTGTGCATGCGCGGGTTTCCTTCGCGAGCTCAATCTGGGCTCGCTGTGCTACCAAAAAAATAAGACGCTGCAGGGATGGATGGTGGGAATGGGCTCTCTGCATTAATCTGTGCACTATTTTTCCAAATATTCATATTTAAAATATGCTAAAAGCATTTACTGTCCTCAAATCTCGGTAAAGCATACATGTATATAACATCCCTCCACTTCCAGAGCGCAGATGATCCCGTCAAGTTCAGAGTCTCATGTTCTACTGCAAACGACAGATCACAACTGCTCGAGAGCAGGCCTTGTAACTTTGATTTGCCCCTGCCCCGCCCCCTTGCTACCTGTGTCATAGCCCCTCTAATTAGTCTGACTCATGGCGACGAATCAAGCAGGAACCATCATGTTAGTCCCTGCCGTGTTGTTAGTGCCCATAACACTTCAGGGTCTTTCTTTTTTTTAAAGATGTTTTGGGATTATGACCCCAAAAGCTAGGAATCATATACATCATACATGAGCAGCAACAGCGAAAAAAGCACAAATAATTAGAGTCTACTTCTAACGCAGTGCATTGTGCCATCTATGAAGAAGGAGGATTTAAATGTAAATAATCACTGTGATGTCAAATTGGCAATGCGTTCTGTAAATGTATTTTTTTAGAAATTGCGATATATTTTGTTAAAAATCTAGAAATTTCATTCACGTTGGTTCATTTGATATTTGAAATGAAACTATATGCATGTATTGGAGGAAAATTGAAATAATTAGTGCCAATTTGAGGAGGAAGTACTGATTTATTTAGACCTCGAGAAAAACTCTGCTATGGGTTAAATGGACCCCCTTCCTGTTATCTCATACAGTCAACTATAGACTATAGAGCTTCTGCGGATTGTGTACAGTTAGTTCAGTGATCTGGTTTGGAACGTGTACCTGTATTGGGACTCTCGGGGAGCATCTAGTGTCAAGGCAAGATCTATGGTAAATTAAAGCACTGCATTGGATTGACTACCCACAGTACATGTACAGTACCTTCATACTTACTTAAGGGATTTGTAACTAATGTTCATACATGTAGCTGCTTAAAGGTAAAGACCAGTTATGGTCATGCGATTGCATTGTGAAAGAAACGTTGTGGAATCGATCAGAAAAGGTTGATCATCTAGCATCTAGCATCTGCAAGGTTCTGGAATCATCAAAATGATAAGAAATTTGGCCCTTTCTTTGTAAAGTTACAAGCACTATACACAGAAAGATGTATATGGGACTACCCTATATCTCTCACAGACCATGAGAGAAACAAATTTACCAAATATATGAATTAGTAGGCGGTTTCCCGGCAAATTTTTTATCATCATGTATTAGTCAAAACATATTCTTTCACATGATTGGTAATGAGAGCTTCCATTTCATTTTTTGAAATTGGGGCGTTTCCAATACTGGTCTTTACCTTTAACATACGGTTGAAATGAGATTGTTAGTAGAAGTTTGTTTGTGTGTAAAATCGCTGTTGTTGATGTAGATGTGAATATACCGGTATGTGTACCTGAATGTGTGCTTACATGTACATGTACAAGAGTCTTCATAAGAACACCATATCTTGAAGATACCTGAGAAATCTAATTATCCTTGGGGAAAAGAGAATGAGATTGAGTTTGTATAGGAGATGCAATGTGAATTGTCACTTGAGTGTTTCGTGGATAAATACTGACGTCAGATATACTGGTTGTGTTGAAAAGATAAAAATTGTTGAACTTCAAGTAGTTAAATTCAAACAGTTTAATTCAAACTTACTGAATACTCGAGTGTTTTGATTAAGGTCATTCTCAGATATTTGTATGTACCATATTTAATGAGTATTCTCAGAAGAACAATTCGACTCTTGTAAATTCAGCTGAATTTTTTAATGAAAAAAAGGCACCTTCTAATATCACTTTTCCATAAATCTGGTAAACAATTTCTTTTTTCTCTGAAGTTACAAAAATGGATTTAGCTCCTTTTGAAATTAAACTCTTCATATAGTGGCTGAAACTAGGTTGCATGATCCAACCAGAATTTTCAAATAGACATGTATTTGATTCGTGATGTTTCAGTTTAATTTATACACATGTACCTTTAATTTACACTACATGTATTTTCAAAGAACTACTTTAAACGCGATGGAAATGATTTATATTGAACCAAACTGTAATTAATTACAAGTATTTTAATCAAATACCCTTTCTTCCCTTGTTTTTTTTTACCATAGGATTCCAAACCCAAGTCCTCTCAGGGGGCCCAGTCTTCCCAGACCCAGTCCTCACTCAGCGAAGAGAGAGAGGAGGAGATCTCCCCCACCCCTCCGGTATCCCAGCCCAAGACCCGCCGTCGCCGCGGTGCCTTTAGCGCCGAACCATACACAGAGGAGGATGCAACTTCCTACGTCAAAAAGGTAATTGCGCTCTGGCCGATCGTACAAATTAGTTTCATGTTGTAGAACATTTCACATTGATCATGTTGTGGCAGCTGGCTGAGATGAAATGTTGATTAAAAAAATAAAACTATGTCAATATTAATCAATTCAATTCAACTGAAATCCTTGTTTCTGATTGGTTATCAGCAGATTTGTCACTGATTTTTGTGATTTGTCATTGAAAAAAGGCTTTGTGAAACGGGCCCCTGATCAAGTGTGAGTTGCCCTACTGCCCCTTTGTGGTAATTTTAGCGCGGAACCGTAGATAGAAGAAGATGAAACTTCCTGTACGTCAATTTTCTGGCTGAATATCATTACATACAAACTAGTTTTACTTTGAGTTAAGTATCAGAGACACTTATCATGGTGGAGACAATAAATTGCATTTGTAGGTAAAGTGATCAGGGTTACACCATGCAAGTCTTTCAAAGCAATAAGACCTTGTACCATAACCTACCAGCTCTTTTCAGGGCTTGAAAGAATTACATGGTAGAACCCTGAAACTTCACCCACAATTTAATGTTACTTTGTTAGAAATTCTACATTTACTCATGCGGTAATTAGCTGTGATGATATTTTTATGCCTCCGCCACCGAAGGTGGTGCCGGAGGCATCATATTTTCGGGTTGTCCGTCCGTACATGTACGTCCGTCCGTCCGTACGTCCCGTTTGACCGTTATCACAATATCTCAAGAACCATTTAAGATTTAAACTTAAGACTCGGGAATAGTATTTATCACCATAGGAAGACGATCTGATTAGATTTTGGAGTACGTAGGTCAAAGGTCACAGGTCACAGAGGTCAACTTATGAAATTCCTTGTATTGAGTTTGTTAGCGCGATATCTCAAGAACATTTCGAGATTTAAACTTCAAACTTAAGGATAGTATGTATCACCATAGGAAGACGATCTGATTAGATTTTGGAGCACGTATGTCAAAGGTCAAGGGTCACAGAGGTCAACTTATGAAATTCCATACATTGAGATTGTTATCATGATATCTCAAGAACCACTGGAGATTTAAACTTCAAACTTAGTGATAGTGTGTATCACTATAGGAAAACAATCTGATTACATTTTGGGTCACGAGGTCAAAGGTCAAAGGTCACAGGGCTCATTATGTATGCAAAAACAGCTTGTGATCGCGTTATCTGAACAACCGATTGATGGATTCCTGCCAAACTTTGGTCATGTATGTATCTTGCAGAGCTGATGAACTGATTAGATTTTGGGGTCACGAGGTCAAAGGTCACAGGGCTCATTATGTATGCAAAAACAGCTTGTGATCGCGTTATCTGAAGAACCGATTGATGGATTCCTGCCAAACTTTGGTCATGTATGTATCTTGCAAAGCCAATGAACTGATTAGATTTTGGGGTCACGAGGTCAAAGGTCACAGCGCACATTGTTGCAAAAACAGCTCGTGATCGCCTTATCTCAAGAACCGATTGATGGATTCCTGCCAAAATTAGGTCATGTATGTTACTTGCAGAGCTGATGAACTGATTAGATTTTGGGGTCATGAGGTAAAGGTCAAGGTCATGCGGCTCATTATGTATGCAAAAATAGCTTGTGATCGTATTATCATTAGAACAGATTGATGGATTCCTGCCAAACTTAGATCATTTATGTATCTTGCAGAGCCAATGAATGGTTCATAAGATCAAAGGTCATGGGCTCATTATGTATGCAAAAATAGCTTGTGGACGCATTCTCATTAGAACTGACAGATGGATTACTATTTAACTCAGGAAATCTTGCAGAGCCAATGAACTGAGTAGATTTTAGGGTCATGAGGTCAAAGATCAAAGGGTCATATATGTATATGAGAAATTGCTTGTAATCACGATATTCTGAGAACATGTTAATGGATTACAATTGAACTTGAATTTGAAAAATTTCTTCCGTTTCGGTTTGTAAAATTGCTCTATGACGGAGGCATCATTTTCGACTGCGCGCAGTCGAATTCCATCTAGTTTATGTTTATAATTATTTCACTTCAATTTGATTGAAGTAAATAGTACTGTATATGGGTCATTAGCTGAGAGCCAGAAGGGCATTAGCTATATTACCGGTAACACTTCACCTAAAGGCTTATGCCCTACAAGCTTTTTGTGGTAGTTTCAGCACGGAACCATACTAGGAGAAAGATGCAACATCTTATTGCAAAAAGCTAATTGCTCTCTGGCCGACATTATGATTCAAATTGATATTACACAATGATGAAACAAAAATCCTTCTGGCATTCAGCAGTCAATATTTGAAGAGCAAAATATGATTTTATTAGATTTAGAGACAATCAATTGTGGGCATGAGAATGTCTCAGTATAGGGCAATAAACTTAATTGTATTCTGAGAAAATTGAAGGCCTAGGGTAGCACTTAATTGTGCAATATATTGATGTGTACATACCGGTATTCTCAGATCTATACTCTTTGGAACTGCATACCTTCATGATCGAAATACACTGTAAAACCATGAACTTTTGTGAAATTAATTGTTAAAGACTGTCATGTTTATGGCAAGAAAAAAAATGTCAAATTTGACAAATTCAGTGTTGCATCACTTGTGGCCCTGTATTTAGGAACATTAAACTTTCACCAATCTTAAATCAACCACATAAAAATGTGCAAACATTTCATGCATGTGAAACACAAAAGAGGATATACATGTGAAATTTAAGGGCGTTGCAGGGATTTGAAAGGTGGATGTCTCAAAAAAAGTAAAAGGGCCAAAACAATGTTTAAAAAATCATAATTAAAAACTCTCCTAAATGTTTGGTGACAAAACGTGTATTATTAGCAAATTTACAGTCATTGCTCTTTTCAAACATTTTGTATTTTGCATGTGGCAGTGTTTTATTCGCCCCATTTGTTTACCAAATGAGGGCTGCCATTTTCATGCTTGGATACAGAGCCTTAATTCCTAGCGTTGTTCAGACATGCAACGGTAAATTGCTTAAAAACAAAAAAAATTGATGATGATGTAAAGTGTAGTACGCCTTGACATTTCCTATGTTATTCAATTCAATTCAATTTCAATTTATTCATGTTTCCAACGAAACATTACAAATCAATAATAAACATTAACAACAAATGTAGAAATACATGTTGGAAACATAGAGCTCAGTGATGTGTCAGACCTTCATTGCTTGCAGTTGCCATTCCTTTACAGGTAGAAACCGTCGCAGTTTACTATATCCGACTGCATAATTTTTTGCATGAAATGTTATTTATTATATTCTTTCTACTGTACTCACCCTCTAACATGCAAAAAATCCTGAAATTTTTTTCATACCACAAAGATATTTATGGTTTTCTTGGAAGGCGTCACTGTGCGACACTCTCTAACAGTAAATTCTCTCAACCATTTTACAATTATCCCAACCATTTTATAATTATCCCGAACGTTTTTCCATGAAACTAAGACATGTAAGACAAGCTTTTAAAAATCTTTCAACACTTAAGTGTCTGGAATGGTATATAGAGCCAATTTATTGCTTTGTGACGATTTACATTCACCTAAAATGTAATTAAATTGTCATAATATAGTTAGGGGAATTAAGGAATCAATCAGGTTAGTTTTACCCAATTTTTTTCATGAATAACCGTCTTTTTTCACTTTTTTAGATTATTTTAAATTGTACATCAAGCATTGAAGTCACTACCTTAGCATCATTTTCTCTCATCTGAACAATGTTACCGAATACCGAATCCCTTTAAGGAGTGTCGACGATAGAAGTAATAGGCAATCCCACTGCAGATCTATTCAACACAAAAGCCTTCCAGTCATCAATTCAATTAAACTTGCCTGCGTGTCTGAACAAAAACCCTCCTGCAGTGCTTGCCTTCAGAAAATGATAATCAAATCTATGATTATTAGCTATTTCTTCTTTTTAATATGTGTCCTTCAATCATGAGGAGTGGCTCAATTAACCACTTATTATGAACAAGTTTTCTCCAAGGCCTTTCAACAGGTTTATTGTTGTGAAGAAACTATTTTTATATTTTTCCCTCTCAAATCAAATAATGAGCCGTGTTGTTAGACTCTCTGTTTTTTGTGTAATATTGATTTTAATTTCTTATGGCCATTGGCGCATTTACAGAATTTGATCAGATAGTTCTGCAGGCAATGACGATTCTGTTTTTTTGTTATTGCATAATATTATGCAACGAGCGTTGTGCAATAATTGAAACCTTGTGTAAGAAGCATGATGATTCTTTTTAATTGTTTTTCTCAATGTGGTGAAGATTGTGATTTTATTTTGTAACGGTCACTCAGATAATTGAGCTTTGAAGAAATAGTTATATCTTGGATAAATCGTCCACAAATCGTCTGTTTTTTTTACCCAGAAGGGGTTTTTAACTCATGAAGTTCAAGTCTGAAACAAATGTTTTTTTCCTGCCCTCATATTGGGATACATATCTAGATGTCACTGAAAAATGTTTAATAAAGGCAGTTTTCAGCGGAATACCCTAATTACTTTGCATTTAGGAATTCTTCCATTCAATTTGAATTATTTATTCAATTTTATTGTATTTTATTTGAGCAAGGAGACACTTGCTTCAGCCAATGGCTGTGCATAAATAAAACACATACATGTAGATCATATACATAAGAATGTACAATAAATATAAAAGAACAAATATATATGTAAATAATGATATAATTAGATATATGAAATAAAGAGAAGTACATGTATGATGAAAACGAAGATAACACATGTAGATAAAAAATATAATACAAATTATTAACATACATATATGGAAGAGGATAAATAAAAAGATAAATCTATAAGACTATAGAGGCAGATGGAGAATTTAAACCAAGATAGAAATCGATCATCACATATGAATTGATATAAAACTGACAAGCATTAGAGGAAGATCAAGTAGGCACTAATTTCACATAGATTACAAATACGTTAGAGCAGTAGTAGAGGAGGCACTGAGGCAAAAGAGAGAAGAAAAAAAGAGGGTGAGAGAAAAAGAAGAGGGGATGGGAGAAAACAAAACAGCAAGAATTAGAGGGGAGAGATTAAAGGAAAGAAATTTTTACTTTCCGGTTTGAATTTGTTAAAGCTAGAGGCTTTTATGTCATTAGGCTATATTCCATTGTTTCCCTCCTCTGTATTGTAAACTTATTTATGTCGCACCTTTTCCGGAGGATACAAGGCACTTTCCCTTGGTCTACGGACAAGTAGAGATGTTTTTAGATGTTTTTGAAGAAATTAAGTGAAGTACTATTTCTCAGAAATTCAGGGAGTTTGTCGATAGGCCTGGAGCAACAGAGTGAAAGGATTCGAAGCCAGCCTGTTTTCGAGATTTGGAAATGAGAAAGGAAGCAGCTGATGTAGATCGAACTAAATACGACGTTCTCTGTTGCTGATTTTTTTGGCGCCAGTACCTTCAATAGATCATCAATTATAAAATAAGATGAAAATTAATCAAATTCATTTTATTAATCAAAATGTGTGTCTTACAACAGCAAGATAATTTTTAAGCTGTTTGTCAGATCTCTTTTTCTGATAATGTCATGTTTGTCCATTTCAGATTAGGCATTCACATATTTAATGTACAGATGTATTTTACTCTTTGCTTTCTTTTATTTTTATCAGGTGATTCCCAAAGATTACAAGACTATGGCCGCTCTCTCCAAAGCCATCTCTAAGAACGTTTTATTCTCCCACCTGGATGAATCAGAGAGGAGGTAGGTATCCTTTGCACATGGCATGTTTCAAGATATGTGGTATAAAGTGAGCAGGAGAAGAAGGGAGAGAGTGATAGAAAGTGGGAGGGATGGATGACAGGAGGGAAAGAGAAAGATACAGAGATATGGAGGGAGATAGAGAAAGACAGAGAGAGAGAGATAGAGAGAGAGAAAGAATGAGACAAGACAGAGAGAAAGAGAGACAGAGACAAGACAGAGATGAGAGATAGACGAGACAGAGAGAAAGACAGACAGAGAGCGAGATAGAGACAAGAGATAGAGAGTAACGTGACAGAGACAAGACAGAGAGAGAGAGAGATAGAGAGAGAGAAAGAATGAGACAAGACAGAGAGAAAGACAGACAGAGAGCGAGATAGAGACGAGAGACAGAAACCAGACAGATAGACAGACAGACAGACAGACAGACAGACAGACAGACAGAGGAGAATGAGAGGAGAATGAGAGGAGAGCAAGAGGAGGACGAAAAAAGTTTACATCAAGAGTAATGATCAAAAGCATCTCTTGGCACAGAAATGATATGATAAATACCCATTCATCATCATGGGGGAAAATCCAATTACCTATCCAAATCCCATGCAAAAAGTGGCTTGACCTGATGGTATTTTGCAAGTGATTTGTAAAATTCTTGGTGGTAATAAAAAGCAGAAGTAGCTGTTGTTTTTTTTTTTTTTTACCTTGAAAAGGCAATAGCACTCACATGTACTGATATGATATGAGAGTTGAAATGAGAGTCTCTGCTACTTTACTTATTTTGTTTGCTTTTTGTTGCTTTCTTTAAATATCTTTGCCAAATTTATTGAAGTTATGATTACTAAAGACTAGAATGGAGATTCTGCTTTATTCCCAAAAGTATCTGTATCTATAAGTATGATACAAATTAATTCAATACTTGTTATTTGAATGTCGATCATTTTGTGTGGGGGAAAGACAGTTATATATTTTACATGTATTTCTCAAAATAACATACATGTTTTATGCTTGATAATCTGATTCCTGTTCTGTTTTCTTTCTTTTTTGTTCACCCCCAGCGACATATTTGATGCCATGTATCCAGTCAAGCACGATGCTAACCAGGTCGTCATACAGCAAGGTAAAGCAACGAACATTGCACACCTTTATGGAAGGATGAGACTAGAAAGAAGGGATGGATGGATAGATAGATGGATGGATATATCGATGAATGGATTGATGGATGGATGGATAGATAGATGGATGGATATATCGATGAATGGATTGATGGATGGATGGATAGATAGATGGATGGATATATCGATGAATGGATTGATGGATGAATGAATGGATAGATGGATGGATATATCGATGAATGGATTGATGGATGGATGGATAGATAGATGGATGGATATATCGATGAATGGATTGATGGATGGATGGATAGATAGATGAATGGATATATCGATGAATGGATGGATGGATGGATGAATGGATAGATAGATGGATAATTTAGTGATAGAGAGAGAGAGAGAGAGGGGGGATTTGAAAATTTAGTCTTTCATACAGTCCAGTATAATTGAAAACTGATTGTAAGACAACAACATCATACCTAGACAGTCCAGGGAAATGTATAGTGAAAGAAAGTTTTCAAAAGAAAGGAAAGAGGCAGGGAGAAAAAAACAAACTTATAGAATGGAGTCTAGTTTAGATACATTACATCCACCATCCATTCTGCCAAGCAATAATAATTTGTCTGTTTGGAGCCAGAAGGGCCTTAACTCATATACTTTAAAGATGAAGTTGAGTTCTGGTCATGCGATTGCATTGTGAAAGAAACGGTGTGGAATCGACCAGAAAAGGTTGATCATCTAGCATATAAGAATTTGTTTGTATTGCAAGGTTCTGGGATCATCAAAATGATAAGAAATTTGGCCAAGTCTTGTCAACGTTACAAACACTGTACACAGAAATATGTATATGGGACTACACGAACACGTGGCATAAAAATCCTACCCCCGAGTTTTACGATGTTACATGTCATATTTAGAGTATGAAGGCATTTGAAGAGCCATGCTTTTCACGGAACATGTCTTATCTGATGTTCTTCCACACTTGCATAATAAGAATGATAACGCTCAGAAATTATTTTTCACCTCTTCCCAGAACTCAACCTTCTCTTTAACACAGAGGCAACGCCCTTTAGGCTCTGAACAGACTACATGAAAAGCAGTGTGAAAAGATATGGAATGGTGAACAATGTTCATAGATAAATGAGGAGCTATAGAAACTAGCAGAGAAGGAAGGAATGAGAGTGAGAGGGAGAGAGAAAGAGAAGGGGGAGAGTTAGTATACGAGCAAGAGAGAATGGGTTTTACATTGAAATCAGAACTTATCTGTGAAGCATAAAAACCAATCAGAGTTCAACAAAGCGTTATGAACGTGTACAATTTAAATGCAAATAGGAAATGAACAACAAGAAAACATCCTGAGGTCAAAATGGAGGAAAGAGAAAAAGCGTAATTGGATCCAGTTTTGATGAATACCATGAGGTATACATTATTTTGATTACTGGACATCAGTGATGTAATTTACGAAACCATCAAAGTACAAGTTCCCTGGCAACCCATTGCAATGTGTGTATTTGATTTAATACATGTGTCAGTGGGATGTCGGATAACTTGTATTTATGACAGTTCCATGAAACGATGCCCAGTTTAATAAGAGATGAGTAGTGGATAGATCAGATGAGGAAGGAAACAAGCATAAGGATAACCCTGTAAGTTGGGGCTCTGATCGGATCGGAAGATCGGAGCGACACCCTCGGACCTTTGATCGGTATCGGATCGGAAGATCGCCAAAATAAATGTGCTGATTTTTTTTTTTTTTAATGACGAAAATTTTCAAGTTTTTGGCTATCAAATGCTTAAAAAAAAATTCATGGCTGGGATTATTTTGTCATTTAGAGTTGTTGTAGACCATGTTTGTTGATATTTAGTGCCTTTTCATGACTTTGAAATTAATAATATTGGTCTAAGAGCAGAGGCAAAACATGCGATTGGATCTTGGATTATAATGTAGGTATGCATTATAATCCAAGATGGCGGCCCGCATGTTTTGCCTCTGCTCTTAGACCAATATCATTAATTTCAAAGTCATGAAAAGGCACTAAATATCAACAAACATGGTCTACAACAACTCTAAATGACAAAATAATCCCAGCCATGAATTTTTTTTGAGCATTTGATAGCCAAAAACTTGAAAATTTTTGGCATAAAAAAAAAAAAAAAAAAATTCTGCCGATTTTTGTCCGATCATTTTACTTGATCGGCGATTGGAAATTATTATCCAATCACCCCTGATCGGATCGGTATCGGCGGCCGATCAAATGATTGTTTACAGGGTTACATAAGAAATGAATAAGAATGAGAAAAAGAGTAGTATTGAACCTAGTATAAAGTCTGCCTTTTACCATCCCTACCCATCCTCTCTCTCTTTGCTACTGGACATTTGAAACAGGTGATAACTAGGAGGGAAAAGATATTTGTATATTTTTCCATAATTACTTTGCTCATTCAGTGAAAGATTGATAATAATCAAGAAGTCATATTATTTGAAGACTTTAAAGATCTAAAATCTTATATAAATATGTCACAGCTCAATTTAAACATGCTTTTCAAAGTCTGAGCTCGGTACCTTTGGTACATGTATGTATCATGTATGAATTTGTTATCAAGCCCTCAAAATCGATTTGTCAAAAGTATCCAGCCGATAAAAAGCAAGATCCTGTCAGGATCAATTTCTTTTTCCTTAAATATAATGTACATGTAAGTTTGCCAAATAGAAGTGAAAATTAACTTATCACACTGTGCCCTAGTAGAACAGATCATGATATAAACCTTTATTGATTGATCAATCAAACACAAATACATCGTACAGTGTAGGTAACTTTTTGATTTACCTTGCTACCACTCTCCTATTTCGTCTGTACTCAACATTTCATGAATTTCACCTTTTTCCAAAGGAAATGTGTGTGTACCGGTAGTTTTTGTAGCTGCAGCGTAGATCACCTTGCTTTATTATGTACACCCCCTTTATGAAATCGATCCCTTTCTTCATCAACCACCTAGAAAATAGAAGCTGTCATATCTTATGACAAATGAGAGAAGTGCTCACTGGGAAATGGTTGCCCATTTGCATAGAGATTAGAAATTAAAGATTTAAATTTGCTCATTTGTCATTGCATTTTCTCACACTTTCACTGATATTTTTCTGTTATCATAATTGAAACCAACTTGATATCAGGATTGAACCCTTAAAGACAAAGCAAGTGAATGAAAAGAACTTGCCTGAATTCCTGAAAGGAAGGAATTTGTGAATCCCTGAATGGACTAAAATGAAAATGGGGTGTTTGTAATCTCCAACATTACATGTACAATTAATCAACCAAGGTCTAACATCATTCTCCCGCGAGACATTAATTTTTAATCGCAACTATCAAGAACGATATTGACATTTTTCCCATTACTGCTAATAGATGTACATACATGTACATGTACTCAAGAATGGCATTTCTTGTCGTACCACAGAACATCTATATTACTAATACCACTAATCGCCGCGGGGGGTCCAAACGGGTACAAAACGGTTCCTCAAAAACGTCTTTCCCCGACCCCGCCCGCCTCCGCCGTGGCGCGGGGAGGGCGGCACAATTCCACGAGGTCTGTCTCCCGTAACCCGCGTGCCACGTCGACCCCTCGATCGACGTCCATGCCGTTAAACGCGGTTTCGGGGCGGCCGGGGAGGACGGGCGGACGAGAGCACGGCGGGCGTCGCGGATTGCCAGGAGGAGACGAACTCGCGAGAGCGAGTCGACAAGGCGTGCACCCGCCCTCTGTCTAATTATCAAAGAGAGACGAAGAGACACACGATGGACGAGAATCCACTCGCGCCAACGGGTGTAGCAAGTCTCATTGTAAAGATTGCGGCGTATTTCGAGTAAGGCCTCTTGCTATAGGATTCGCTTAGTAGCATGTAAGAGAAACACACATTAACAGATGACTCACCCGGGTGATGGGATGTAGCCATTATGTACGCTCAACGGGTTGAGCTGACCCGTGCTATGCGTCTTTCTATAGGATATGCTTTAGCTAGGCGCCCATAGTACGTGTACGTGTATTACACGCTCTCAGGTCACACACATGCACACACCACAGTCGATTCGAGTCGAGGCGATTGCTACAACTGGCGCAAACCATGGACCTATTTTCACGTAAAATCTTTACTCTGAAAATAATTATACAAATTCTGTGATCTATGCCAACATAATCATAGTCCAAGCTTCTGTTTTATTGGTCTTTTCATGAAAACTACATCGAAATTACAACAAGAATAGCGCAAATAGATCTGTGATAGTACGCCTTCACGTGACAGTTCAATTGGAAACTGCCTTGAGTCCGCAGTGTATTGCCACCGCAGCTGAGCGCTGCTGTCGGCGGTGCTGTCGGAGCTGAGTGTGTGAGCATGGACTAGCGGTGACCGGAGTAGCCAGGCCTGTCCGTGGTGTGAGGAGAGTCTAAACAACACTTTGAAATTGCTATTATTGCCCCGATTTCAATGTAGTTTCGTGAATAGATGTATGAAACCTGGGCTTAGATTGTGATTATTCTGGCCATGTATAGTTGTATACTGAATTTCGATAATCATTTTTCAAAGTAAAGTTTTCACAAGCAAAGTAAAGTTTTCACAAGAAAATCAGACGGTCGTCATGGTCGTTTAAAAACATGATAATACTTTTAGTATGATACAGTTCTTGCATCAAATCAATTTTTGAAGTATGGGGGTTGGGGGGGGGGGTCAGGTAACTCAAAGCGATTTGAGTGCAGGCGTGGTGTCCACGGGTACAAAGGGCTGAACCCCCGAAAGCTCAGGGGTTTTAGGCATTTAATATGGTCAGATGAGCATATTTTTAATGCCTTATTTGTGACACTGGCAGGTCGATCACTAATTGGCGTGGGGTCCATAGTAGAGTTGCGTACCAACTACGCTGAGCTGAGAGTACGCTGGCCTACGTTACTATACCCCGAGGGACGCAAAAAAGTACGCAAGATGGACGCAAACAATTTAATAGGTTTAACAAAATTCGCGTACTTTTGGCGTAGAAACTTGACGCAGAAAGTACGCCTTTTTTACGTAACACTACGCTACTAAACTAAACAAACTGCATCTTTAAATAAATTAATGAAAAATTAGCCCAAGAAAAATGAGCCCCCGAAAGATAAAAAAAAGTAGCCCCCCAAAATTTTCCCAAAATTTGATAAAGATCGAGTCCCCGAAAAAAAAAATCTTTCACTGGATTCTACGCTCACAGTCCCACACACAGTCGAGTTAATTTGTGCACAAACCGTCCAATTTTTCGCGTAAAATCTTTACTTTGAAAATAATTATACACATTTTGTGAACAATGCCAACATAATCATAATCCAAGCCTCGATCTGCATATGTAGTCTTTTCATGAAACTACATTGAAATCACAACAATAATAATGCAAATAAATAGTAATTATCGAGATCCTATCTGACATAGTTTGTTTTACGATGCGCCATTCATGGTCAAACAGCATATATTATAAAAATTCTCTATATAAAGATAATCTAAATTTTGTTTTGGATAGCACATAGGCCTCTATCTATCTATTTGGCCCCCTCCCCTAGAATCCCGTGGATTTTCCACGGGTCCTGCTAGTGCAGTACTAACTAACAGCTTTGTACAGAGCAAGGATAGGGCTTGAAAATCATCAGCTAGTCTGTAAATACAGACTTTTTAAGACGTATCTATGACTTGAAATATAAAATATTGAAATATAATATAATACTGGGTAGTTGAAATATAATATGTGTATCAATATACATGTACAGGGTATAACATGAGAATAACACAAGCAGAAAAGACATGAAAAACAAATTATTCCTTTTTTAATACAAAGGGAAAAAGGGAAATGATTCACTTTAACACACTCACTCTCCCCCATACGCACCAACACACATTTATTGTTCTGTCTGATGTAAAATTGAAGTTATAAGTTATTGCACTATTGAGTATTGTTGTAATATAGAAATACAATTAACATTTTCTTTTAAAACTATTCAGTGATGGGCTCAGTCTATAAATGTCTATTGGTATATCATTCCAAACTTTGGGACCCCTGATTTTGGGAAACTAATGTTCCAAACACTTCAAATTACATGTACATGTATGTTCATCTTGATTCTCATTGCTACGGTGTGTTGTGTACAACGAGGCCCTCTTTGATGATTGCAAAGATGGGTCTGGTACGAGGAAGACTAAGGACGACGAAACCAAAATCATGTCAAATATCTCATAATAGCTTGCTCTTTTGCACAGATGTTCTGAATTTTTAATTAAAAATTTCCATTTTGTCAATAAGTGCTCCTCCTATTTGCGATATATTTATGCAATGAATCCATACATAGCAATATGATTTGAGATTTTGAGTACCAGTACTATTTGTAACCATATGTGAATGATATGTAGTTTCAGTACTTGTTTATTTAGTACTCAAAGTATTAAAATGGAGTCTGAGTATTATTAGTAAGCCTTGCAATTTTGCATCTTAAAACCTTGCAGCTATATCAAATTACAAAATGAGATGTCAAATCAATAAGCATAATATCAGAAAGAGAAGGAAAAAGAAAAGAAGGAAAAAGAAAAGAAGGAAAGAGAAAAGAAGGAAACAGACATATTTTCTCATTTTTATTTTCTTCTATTTTTTTTTCTTCAATTTTTTGTTTATCTTTATGTACATACATGTTGTATGTATAGAGCCAGAAGGATCTCTTCTTGCTCTAGGCTGGCAGTGAATACTCATTGCTTTTAGCTTATTTTTATTCATCATATTTATAAAGAGATCAAAAGGGCCTGACTCCAAAGCCAAAGGATCACAAATATCCTTAATTTCATAAAAACAAATATGACATGCATTTGTTGTTGAATATAACATATGTTCATCTCAAATTCAGAATTCCTCTTGTGCCATTATATTTCAACCCCTGACTATGGCCTTTGTAAAATATAACAGCACTCTCGAAATTCTAAATTTGTCGTTTCATATTTTGTTACATTAAATGCCAGAGCATGCAGTATTTTCATTATGTAGCTACATTATGCATTGTACATCTAGCACCATGCATGCATTTTCTTGCACTGCCATGTACACATGTACATAATGACACACGGTTAGGTTTTGGAATGTGAACGAAGGGAAGAAATTATCTTTAAGCTGAATGTCAAAAAAGAAAGAGCTGTCCATCACATGATTCTGGTCAGGCTGTATCAAGCTAATTTCTACTGATGAATGTGGCGTCTTTCAGCAGCAGTGATGCCTTGTTAGCTTAAAGCCTGCCCCAAATGAGGATGATGTTTTATGCTAAACTTGACTAAGGCACAATCATATTGTGTTGTTTAATAAAGATTTGAGGCTGCATGACTTTGACAAATCACATTTTCAATTTTGATGGAATTCTTGCTTTTACTCAGTAGTACTGAATCATTATTTACATATTCCTGTCTACCCCAATTCAAGCAAGTCAATTTTCATAATTATTTGAGGAAGCTCGGTTGAATGAAAATTATGTTTACCATATGAATTTTGTAGCAATTTTCATCCAACTTGATATATTTCCCCTTTTATAAGGAGAAGTATTAATGTTTGTTTTTTTTTAAACACATTTGAAGTTGTCAATTATTGAATTATCTTGTTCCCAGAAATTAAAATCTTTGACACAATTTTGTGTTTTATTGAAAATTGAGTTATTTTCTATCCACATCTCCCCTATAGAATTACTGCAAGAAACACTTGCATGCATGCACCCTCAAAATCATTTGAAGTAATTGGCACATGGCTTTACTAGTCAAGTTAGAGTGTATATTATTAATTGTTGTGCAATCAGTAGCATATAATATTCCCATTTGTAAAGGTGAGCCCTTCTCTTTACACATCTACTTTAGATCCTACTACAGAGGCATTTTATTGGTGTCAATAAAGTCACCAGAAAACAGGGAAATTTGGCAGCAAATAGATGCATGTAGAAGTGATAAGGGGTCATATATATGCTCTTCAGGCATTTTTCCATTATCAGCCTGCTACATTGAGGTACATAATATTTCTACATCTACCTGAGATAAAGTGGCATGTTCCTTCAGCAATGTGAACTACTTATCGGTATTTAGAAAAGTAATAATAATAATAAAATAGCGCTTATAAAGCACTTTGCACCAGAGTCTCTAAGACCTTGGAAAGCGTCGAGACAAACATAATGGGATCAGACTGCTGCTTGCATAGGTTAAAATATTATCTGAATACAATGTGGCATTCTATTTCAACATCTGCTTTAGATTTCACAGGAGAAATGTCGGGATTCTCCCGGGCTGTCATAGGCTTATTTTGACAAATATACATTGTTTTATAGATGTATATACATTTAACAACTAACTTATTCATACCCCTGCCAAGTTTTGTAAATTTTGTCATTATGTGGAAAATGGATTTGCCCCGATTTATGTTTCTTGAGAATGCGCCTTATTAAAAGCTTACATCTAAAAGTAATCAATAAAGGCCAATAAACTCAACTATTCCACCGTTCATTCTTGATTTACAAAAAACAAAAAAAAGCATCAAATTTACAAGGGGTATGAATGATTTAGTTGTTAACTGTGTGTGTATATATATATTATCAATAAGAGTACATTATGATTGATGATGATGTAGTGCAGCTCTCCGCAATCTTTTTATGCTCAATTGTTGATGTATGATTTTATGGCCCTTTTTCAATGTGCACCTATGAACCATCCCTTCAAAGGGGAAATGAATATGAAAGTGCTGGTCGATTGTAGTGTCGATACAGGTGTGATGCTGTCTCGGGTCTGTACAAACAATACAATGTATATCCCCATTCATTTTCAACATGTATACTCTAGATGATAGTGAAGTTCTAGGGAGAAGTAGATGTGAGAGTAATGAGAAAGCGACTTGGGATACTGTAGTCCAAATCTGAATGATGGTATGTTGAGTGATGTTCATACATGCATTTGTTACTAAGTGATGTTCATACATGCATTTGTTACTACATGTAAGTGATGTTCATACGTGCATTTGTTACTAAGTGATGTATTATTATCTTGAACAGGCATGCGAACATGCCCTACTAGGGAGAAACGTGCAATGAAGGAAAGCAATGGGACTAATTGTTCAGTACTGTGTAATGTATAGATTGTAACAGTGTCCACATTTGCAATCCTGTACTGCTCATTTGTGGCTAACTTGACTTTTTGGATCTGAAGAAATGAATGGGGGATAGTGTAATGAATAGAACATCACATTGTTCACATTTGCAATCGTAAGCCACTAAAGCCACTTTGTTGCTAATTTAGCCGAATGTGTATAGCGCTTAATACTACGTTTCTTTCATCACATGCGAACAAGCTCTGTAGGATTGAAAGAAATGAATTAGGGTGGCTGCAACCCTAGGAAGGTTTATACTGTTAAATAATTTGTAATGAATATATCATCATAGTGTTCACATTGGAAATGATATGGCTAAATCATGGCTCATATGTGTATAGCGCTTAATAATACTTTCTTTTATCTCATGTGAACACAAGCCCTTTGGATTGGACGATTGCAATCCTAGATAGGTTTATATTGTTCATGTCTGTGTAAAGAATAGATTGCCACAGTGTTCACATAATTTGCGATCATATACATGTACCACCCATTCGTGGCTAACGTGACTGATTCGCCGTGAACATATTTGAACGCCCCAAGAGGAATTTATTTATGCGAGTGTCACTTTCATCCATTCTCTCTTCTTTCTGTCCCTTCTCTCTCTCTCCCTTGACATGAATAGGTGATGAAGGCGATAACTTCTATGTCATTGACTCCGGAGAAGTTGACGTAAGTACTATTCCCAAATTTATAAAAAAGTTGTTTTCATTGTGATGTCATTGGCTCATTGCCCACAAATGCTACCTCGGTGTAGTAGTAATTTCTAGCATGATATTTTGGGCGAAACTGAACTTCTACTGAATAGTGAATGCTGATTTAAATAAGTAAATTTGATAATTCATGAAATTAGTGGCGTTTTATTTCCATTTGGTGCTGCAATCTAAGCTTCAAGATGTGGAAAGAGCCTTAAAGGGATCGTTTAACAATGTTAAATCTGAGATGCACGACCCTACTTGTTATCAGTGTCTGTGGTATGGTGTAATATTGAAGCCCTAAAAAAATTGCGCTTCAAAATGATCAAGAAAAGCCTCCAAAAAGTAAAAATCTTTGAGTGACCGGTTTTACCATACTCGTTTTCCCCAATAGACTGTAATATTATGAAAACCGTCAGGCGAACAGTTTTCAAAATTTGTGATTCCAATCATAAATATCTTAGATAGATAATCAGACAGGCGATCGGCTTGTAAAAGTCACAGGGTTCCTGACTGACCTAAAGGTTTATAATTATCATTGCATCATGAGCTGAATCCAGAATTTTGTTTCAGAATCTGAGACAAAGTTACCGGATCCCTTTAAGTGGACTCTCTTGTGGAATATGAATTTCATTGTGTTCTGTACATTTTTTAAAGTCAATATATATATATATATATATATATATATATATATATATATATATATGTGATTTACATAGATATTTGATCATAAAAGGGATATGTACCTGTATCAGTATACACCTTGATATATTCAACACATTGTGTACGGGAAGTGTGTGGCTCCTTGATTAAGCCCATGGCAATGAGAGAATTCAGTAGTTTGCAGGTTAAGGATTTAGAACATGGTTTTACTACTATTCTGCAATTGTAATAAACATGTACAATACTAATTTTGATATACTGTATATAGAAAACATGTAGCTCTTAAACCATGCAATATCTCTGAAAGCACAGTTTAAATTACTCCAGTCTTGGCTAAGGTTTACCCACACACATTTATATGTATATGATTGTCTTCCTCATAGCTTGCGCAGTTTATCACTGGATGCATATTTTATTCCCTACAATGTCTATTTAGAGCCATAAATTGACATTTTTTTTCTTCCTTTTCTACCTCCTCCTGCCTGCCCTTGCCCTATGTAGATCTATGTGGACAATGAGCGTGTCGTCACCCTGAGTGAGGGCAGCAGCTTTGGAGAGCTGGCTCTCATCTACGGCACCCCAAGAGCTGCTACAGTCAAGGTATGTGTACCATTCTGTCTGTCTGTCTGTCTATCCGTCCATCTGTCTGCCTGTCTGTATATCTGTCTGTCTGTCTGCCTATCTGTCTATCTATCTATCTATCTGTCTGTATGTCTGTCTATCTGTCTATCTATCTATCTATCTGTCTGTCTGTCTGCCTATCTGTCTATCTATCTATCTATCTATCTGTCTGTATGTCTGTCTATCTGTCTGTCTGTCTGTCTGTCTATCGATCTGTCTGTCTGTCTGTCTGTCTGTCTGTCTATCTGTCTATCTGTCTATCTGTCAGGTTGTCTGTCAAATCTTGATTTGTACAGTGCGTGAAGAGAAGGTTGCATTCCAGGAAAAGTGAAAAATAATAATTTGTGAGATTTTTCTTTCTTTTGATGTTAGTTTAGAAGAGTATCATAGAATAAAATTTACCCAGAAAAAGATGGCTCTTCACATTCCCTTATTCGGAATTAATAGCTAAAGGGGTGAGGACGACACCTACATGCCACATGTTTGTGTAGTCCACACAAATTCTGTGCACAGTCACCCACAGTGCATGTGACTTCTAGCAAGACTGGGCCAATTTGCTATCGTTTTGATGATTCACATCCTCGCAGTATGCACCTATATGAACAGTTTGGGCTCTGTGATCAACTTTTTCCATCGCTTTCACACACTTTCTTTCACAATTTAATCTCATGACCAGAATTATTAAAACATGCAATTATTGTACATTGTATTACAACATACAGATAGAGCTAGTAGGGCAAGTCCATGGTATTTCTTGTTCCGTATGTTACCAAGTATTTTTGAATTCTGACCATAAATTGACATCAAATGTGTCATTAAACTTCATATGTGGTCTGATCTAAAGATGCAGTAAGACTATTTGCTTAATGATCAGACATGCTCAAATCTGAGAGGAGGTCATTGACATTTGGGCTAAAAATGCTGACAGTATTGATTTACATTTCCTAATCATTACTTCTATCTCTTGGATAAGTTTGTATAGTATTGTACAGGTACTTGCATGCTACAAAATACCACTTAAAGGCTCGTTCAGATATGCCGCGGTAAAAGACCGCAATATTAAAAATACAATTTTAAAAATACATGTAACTAAAATGGCAACTGCTGCGTGCAGTTTTACATGTACGGATATTCACTTATCTCTGTGTTACATGTATAAGATACAGATATGTGAAGTGTAGTACATTTGTGTCGTCATATAAAAACGTCATGCTACCGTGGTATATGTATATAACAAGCCATTATTTACTGTATTTACAGGTTTCTTTTCTTTCTCCAAAGTCAAGTCCAAAACAATAATGGGGCACATTGCACCTGAAATAGCTCAAAAACTTACCCATCCCTCCCCAATGATTGTGATGCTTATTTGGGACCCTTATCTTTGTATTTGCAGGCTAAGACTGATATGAAGCTGTGGGGAATTGACAGGGACAGCTACAGACGAATTCTCATGGTAAGTATGCAGATCTTTTTTTTCTTTTTATAGTTTTAAACTTTTTATTGCTGGGGCATCATCATTTTTAGCTTTCCAATCCTATATATTGCCTCTGTACATTTAACCATTACATCCTTGTATTTGCTTAACTAAGATACACTGGCAAACTCAAAAAGAAAGTTTAGGAGCATTGACAGCTACATGTAGATCTTGGGATAGTTATCCTGATTCCTTATGTTCCAGTGGCAAGAAGCGGTGTACCGCGATCAATAGGATGACAAGTCAATACAAAGAAATTGATTTCCATGTTAACCTGCCAAATTAGACCATGCTCCCGAAGAAAGTGCGGCTTTTACGCAGCGCCGCTGTAATGAATGCTCCTGCAAGGAGTACACGTTGGTGACGTCCAGTAACGTGATAGGATGAGGGAGAAGGGTTCTAGTGTTTCATTAGAGCTCGAGGGTATCGATCGGAACCTTCAAACTCCTGAGGTGTGTGGCCGATGTTTACACAGCGTTATGACATCATCCACGTAAAGGATAGTGCCGTCGTCGAATGGGGCAAAGCGATGATGGGAGAACGCGTGCGAGAGAAACACAATCGTGGCAGTGCTAGCCATGTTTAATATTGAAGGGTAGTGTCATGGAGACGAATATAAGACTTTTGATCGTACCCTTCACATTTACGTAATTGATTCCATAAATGTGCCCCTACTGTCCCACCAAGGTGAGGAAGAAGGAAATAAATGGACTATCCAGAGACCTATTCTAAATTTTAAGCATATCTTATTTTTATTAAGTCCACAACACTTGTTTACTATTTGTTTATTCAAATAAAAAAGTTTCTTGGTCCAAACACGCTGCAAAACATAGAGTATCCTTGAAAAACAATGCAATTAAATTTATTTTGTTTCCATTTCAAAGGCTAAGGAGGTACTGTAATGGTTCATGGTAATGAAGTGAATACTACATCGTCATGTGATTTGTTTTCTATTTACAGGGAAGCCAAGTACGCAAGAGGAAGATGTACGAGGAATTCCTCACTAAGGTATCCATCCTTGGTAAGTCAAATAAGTTATTAATTGATTTAATGGATGACTTTATTAGGGAGAAGGTTAGGGAGGGAAAGTGGGGTAATGAAGCAGGCATGAAGGGATAAATGTTAAGAGAGAAGGAAAAGGAAGAAATTAATGAAAGTGAAGTGAGATGAAGGACTAAAGGGAAGAACAAAGTAACACAAAATAAATAAATATAGTTTCAGCGTATGAAGAATTTATGATTGAAAGAAATATTGAATAAAACATGAACAAAAACAAGAATGCATGGAGAAAAGAACAAAATAAAGAATGAGTTCCAGTGAGCATACTCAAAAAGATATCACTTTATTTTTAAAATAATGAAATCTTAGAATTTTATTTACAAAGAAATACAATGAAATGTACATGTGAAAACAATAATGATGCATGATTGTAGATTATGAAGATAAAAGATAAAGAATGTGTTGCCAATTTATAGAGGAAAATCAGAGACTTTTGTCATTTGTATGCATGAGGCTGTAATGAGCTTCAAGCAAGGAACGTTGATTTGATCTTAAATTGATCTTATTTCAGATAACTGATAGTTTTTGTGGAATGTTGTTATAAAATTAAAAATGAATGATATAAATAATAAACAAACATTTTCAAGTTGCAAATTTGAAGAGGGATAGTCAATCTTGATCTGTTGTTCTCTTGTAGAAAACCTCGACATATGGGAGAACTTGACAATAGCCGATGCTCTCGAGCCAGTCCAGTTCGACGATGGCCAAAAGATTGTTGTTCAAGGAGAACAAGGAGATGACTTCTTCATGATCATTGAGGTATCGAAACTAGACCCCTAACTTTCCTTTTTTGTCTGATATTTGAATGTGAAAATAAAAAGTGGGTCTTTCCGAATATTCATTTTGATAGGAGCTTTAAGTCCCCTCTGCATTACTTATAGCTACTTGTGCCCTCTATACCGTATAGCAAACAATGCCTAATCGGTATCCATTGGTTACCCATGATCCCCTTTTTTATGCCTCCGCTACAAAGTAGCCGGAGGCATTTTATGTTTTCTGGTTGTCCGTCCGTCCGTACGTACGTCCGTCCGTACGTCCGTACGTCCCGTTCTCGTGATCGCGTTATCTCAAGAACCAATTGATGGATTCTCTCTAAACTTGGATCATGTATGTATCTTGCAGAGCCAATGAACTGATTAGATTTTGGGGTCATGAGGTCGCAGGTCAAAGGTCACAGGGCTCATTATGTATTCAAAAATAGCTTGTGATCGCAATATCTCAAGAACCGATCAATGGATTCCTGCCAAACTTGGGTCATATATGTATCTAACAGAGCCAATGAACTGATTAGATTTTGGGGTCACGAGGTCGGAGGTCAAAGGTCACAGGGCTCATTATGTATACAAAAATAGCTTGTGATCGCGTTATCTCAAGAACCGATCGATGGATTCGTGCCAAACTTGGGTCATGTATGTATCTAACAGAGCCAATGGACTGATTAGATTTTGGGGTCACGAGGTCGAAGGTCACAGGGCTCATTATGTCTACAAAAATAGCTCGTGATCGCGTTATCTCAAGAACCGGTCAATGGATTCCTGCCAAACTTGGGTCATGTATGTATCTAACAGAGCCAATGAACTGATTACATTTTGGGGTCATGAGGTCAAAGGTCACAGGGCTCATTATGTATGCACAAATAGCTTGTGATCGCATTATAATGAGAACCAATAGACAGATTACTATCAAACTCAAGACATGTATATATGTATCTTGCAGAGCCAATTAACTGATTAGATTTTAGGGTCATCAGGTCAAAGGTCATGGGGCTCATTATGTATGACTATAAATAGCTTGTGAATGCATTATTATTAAAACCGACAGATGGATTACAATCAAACTTGAATTTTAAAAATTGCTTCCGTTTTGGTTTGTAAAGTTGCTCTATGGCGGAGGCATCATTTTTGACTGCGCGCAGTCAAAATTCCATCTAGTCTTATGTTAATTGAGAACTGATTTGATGAGCTAACCACCTGTGTTGACCATGCAGTGAGGTCTAATCCCTCCTGGCCACACTATTGCAGAGGGGCATTTAACCTAGGAAGATGTTTGGGAACACAACTTCATCCTTGCTTCACCATGAAGCACATGCGAGAGAAATGGGTGCTATCTCCTATACTTTTCTACAGGTTTAACACCCTGGTGACTGGCATCAGACAATATGATGTTTCAATGGCCGAGTATCCGGCTCAAGTTAGCTTGCTAGAGCATTAAATATAGATATGATCAGAATTTTTTTTACACCATTTTACCTCAAGATGGCCAAGGTCAAATGTTTAATTTACTACCTACAGTGTACCTGTAGATATGGAAGCACATCATTTATAAATAGGAATATTTGTAATTCATTAATTTTCTTGTCGATTCAGTCTATAAATTAAAAAATATATATATTTCAAGGATTGTTCCTTTGTCAAAATTCTGACTTCTTTATCTTTCATTCTTCCTTATACAGGGCCAGGCAGCAGTTCTTCAGCGTCATGGCAACGACTCGGAATTGATTGAAGTTGGCAAGCTAGGACCATCAGATTACTTTGGTAAGACTTGTGCCATTCATTTATCTGTTGCATTATCTGTTGGTTCATTGCTTTTAGGAACTTATACAGTCAAACCTGCTTTAGTGACCACCTGTCTACAACAAGCTTTGTTTCCCTTGAAAACAGTTTCTCATTGAAACATGTACTAAAGGAACCTGTCTACAAAGACCTCTTTTTGTGTATCCCTTGGGCGGTAGCTGTAGACAGGTTTGACTGTACTACCTGTGAAAGTCTGTTAGTTGGATCGCTTTATTGCATTTTTAGAAGCAGTTAGAAATCAGAGAGTCATATTAGCAGCTATGCACCTCCTACTTTGAATAGGAAGGAGGTGAGCTAGCTCAGGTGGTAAAGCATCTCCCTGTCAAACCCCAAAATCATGGGTTCAAATCCAACCAAGGCAGATGACTGTAGCCTGCGTTGTGTATTGACGGACCGCTGCCATTATCATACAGGTAGATGTGGGCTACGTTACAGTGGAAAACACTCTGTCCCTCGGATAGGACATTACATGGAGGGCCTGTGTAGAGGAGAGTCACCACCTTTGCATGCTAAGAACCCACTGCACTATTCTTATAAGTGTAGGGGAAAACCCTAGTGTAATGGTCCACCTGCACATCCTAACCAGGAGGAGAGAATGATTCAGTACGCTTTCCCCTCACAGGCACAGGTGACACAAAATAGTTAAAGCCTGTCCGTACTAGTTTGGCCAGGGGAATTAGACCTCCCTGCAAGGTCACTGACAGGTGGTTATCACATCAAATCAGCTCTCAATTAACAAAGAAAAGGGGGATCATGGGGACCAACAGGCACCGATTAGGCATTGTTTGCTATTTAGAGGGAGCAAGTAGCTATACATTAAAGTAGTGCAGTGGGGCTTCAATATTAATGATAATGTTTGTTGAATAAAAAAAATAAAACCATCGCCGAGAGATTAATGAATTTCAAATCTGAACTCTGTTTCCTAAACCAGGTGAGATTGCCTTACTGCTAGACCGCCCCCGTGCTGCCACCGTCGTAGCCCGCGGCAACTTGAAGTGCGTCAAACTGGACAGACAACGCTTCGAGCGTGTGCTTGGACCTTGCCAGGAGATCCTCAAGAGGAATATCTCCAGTTACAACAGCTTTGTGCAGCTGTCTGTATAGAGATCTCCTCTCTCAACTCATCCTATTTCTCTCCAGTCTCCTGTTCTCTCTTTCTATTGTACTTTCTATTCCTATCACCCTCTCTCCCCCATCCCTCCCCCTAACACATGCCATCATTCCCCTCCCTCATTTCCATTGTTCCCTGTCCGTCTCTTTCCACGACTCTCTCTCACCACTCATCGCCCTCTCTCTCTCATCCCCTCTCTATCTCTCTTTCTATCTTTCTTTCTCTCTCTCTCTTCGAGAGGATGGATAAAGATCTGTGTCATCTATGTGATGCTTTAGAACTTAAAAACGATTGAGAGAGTACCTTAAGAGTTTTACAATGTTTCTTCAAAGGGCCTCACAAAACCTTTTTTCACAGGTGGTATGAATTGGAAATTTTTATGGTCAGTTTGCATACAGCCCCTGTTCAAATTTCTAAATGTAGGGTAGAGAGTTTAAATTGGGGGGCCTCTGTGGACCAGGCCCCTCCGAGTGTCGGGTCTTTCGTATTGTACAAGCATTGGTACTAATGAAGGAGATGAAGGAAAGAGAGTGTGTTATAAAAATAAATTGCTACAAACTGCAGAGAGAGAAAGAGAGATCAGAGACGAGAGATAAATTGGCCAAGTAACACTTTGGTTTCTTTATCATAGTGGGAGGGGGAGAGCTATGGAGCTTTGTTCTTTATGCTTTGTGTGTCTAGTATTCCTACAACAAAATATCTCACAACTTTTCTTTGTTACAAGAAATAGAGGGTTAGCGTGTGCACTATGAAAGTGAACTAGTTGCGATGAAGTTAGGACGGGATATGTCATTCGCTGTGCAGTTCAATCAAAACGCTGCTGTTATGGGATATTGCAGACCGAAGTTGAATTTGAAAGAGAATATACTATGCTGTTTTCTTTGATAATTTCCTGAAGAGCATTTCAACATATCTGAAAGCGGTCTATTTGCAAAGCAGTGAAAAAGAGAGATGCGGGGAGCATTTGAAGTTTGTTACTTTTTTATGAAATCATCTGTTATAACAGTCAGAAAGGCATTAATTCTCTGTTCAAGTTTAGGAGTTACTGCCCTTCTGGCTCCAAACAGACAATAAACACAATTCCCTTGTAAATTGTTCAGGTATTATAAAAACCTTTATTATAGCAGTTGGAGAGGAGGTAGGATTTTAGATTACTCTAGACGACTATAACTCCTTATTTATTGTGATTTTATGCCCATTGACCAGTGCGGGAGAGAGCTTGTGGTTTGACAAGCGAGGATTTGTCATAGCATGTGTGGAAAATCCAAAAACTTGGTGTTTACGGACGGATTGGGGCAGTTGTTTGACCATGTGTATGTACATAACTGACATTGTTTGTTCATTCATTAGTCCCTGGTGCTGTGTGTCAAATGAGGGTCGGACAGGAATTCGCTAAATATAACGTATAAACTATATTTGCTCTTGTAAATTTGAAGGGGATGCATAATTGTGTATGGTTTTCATAACTCCTCATATGAATATTCATAGCCAGTTAGACTGTTTGCTTTAAATAGTGCAACATTATATTTGTAGATTATACATTTTCTGGGCGCTGGTTTAATGATTGGGTCTGGGTCTAATTTTCCTCCCTCTCGTTTTTATTTTACATCATCTCTTCTAATATTTTCATCTTACTTGGTCGTACATACGAAGTTTGTGTGTACTTTGGTATCAGAAAGTTTTATTGGATCCTTATTGGGGAGAAAGGGACATACTGCCTTGGTTCTTCAGTATTCAATTCACTTCAATTTAATTTGAAAGATGTCTCTGGAAACATGCTGTGATATACATGTAACGGTTGTAACAGTTTGGCAGAGAAAGTGAAAATCATGTTGCTGTGGTCTGTGAGAATGCTGAGAACTATGCTTTAAAGGAGCATCATTCTTGCAGAGTGCCGCCTTTTAAGGCATCTTTTCAAAAATCTTAGCGATTTAAATATGAGGAATATAAACAAACATATAATTAAGACATTGTTGGGTTTAATAGGAATATCAAGGTCGTTGAGTTTACTATTCTTGCTTTTCTCATGTATCAGATAGGTGGTGTGCTTTTATCATTGTATTGATGTCGAAATTCCAGAACAACCTTTTTGAAATGTGTTCAAGTACTTGTCTTTTTAACTACCCTAAGCTTGTAAATAGAACCTTATGTAGTTAGAATGCTCACAATCATTAGGAGATATCTCTCATTGTTTTGTCCGTATAAATAAAGCACCAAAAATCTATTTGATATGATTACATTTTTAATTGTTTAATTATTTCAAAACGTTTATTTAATCTTATATCATGCCACCATGAAGGGAATTATGACTACATAATTCTTTTGAATTAATGTATACTTTCTTTTAACCATTTTTTTTCCTTCTTGTTTTTTCCTCGCACAATAGATTGTTTATAGATATATGAAAGAGCGTTACTTATTACATATCTGTGTGTTGTCTTTTCTTGTAGAGGTATACCCTGATAAAAAACATATTGTTCTGTGAAATTATAATCTACTATCATTAAATTTAATGAAGGTGGTGTCTAAAGAAAGACTGGTCTTGTGTTACCTTTTTTTATCTGAATGTCATGTTTATTTTTTTTTTATTTGATGAGTTTTTATTGATCCAATAATATTTTTACATTCAAAATAAACATGATACAAATATCAGACATTTATAATCATGGAACAACAATAGATCCAAAAAAGAAATCAAATGGAAAATAGAAAACATCAGTGATCGTCAAAATACCCCCGCCCCCAGAAAAAACCTGCATAAACGGGATTATATTCTAAAATTTCAGAAATTAAGCGCCATTTTTCATTGTGCCCATCTAGTTTGCTGCGTCTTTCAGCAATAAACCTTTCTACCGTCTGAAAATATTTAGAATGTTGTGTTCATGATGGTGTGGTAATGGTAGTTAGTCCCATCCGGCAGATTTTCATTTACATCACATGTAGCACCTGGGTGGAGAAGGGTAATGTAGATAAAATGCCTTGCTCAAGGGCAAACTGCTGTGCTGAGGTTTGAACCTGCGACCTTAGCGATGCTAGTCAAGTGAGTGAGCCACTTGATTATGACATATCTGCAACGTTTATTAATAAAAACACATTCAACATTCAAAATTCTTCAAATTCAAAACAATATCTTTCTCTTAATGTTATATTGTTCTAATGAATTGCAATGTCTCAGAAAACATTAGGCATTATACATATGGTAGGTAAAAAATTTGTTTTGAAATTATATTATGAAAAATTTTCATATAAAAATAATGATTTTGAACCTCTCTGTGTGTTGCCAATTTAAATATTTAGAATTTTATACTCCTTAAAATTTATGGCATCATGCAACAAAAATGGACACGATATGTGCAGAAACTGTTGCCCTTTCTTTTCATGCATCTGGTATATTTTAAAGGCTCTGAATAAAAAATAACTGGGCAAAACCACAAAATGTGAAATGCTCGTCCCAAAAGGGTTTACCGGTAATTTGTCAGATGGGCCACTGAGTATGTATTTTGCATACATATACCAATGGCCCATTTAGGGGCGGTGGAAGAACAAAATATCCCTCTCCCCCAGTCTAAATGCATTATCATAAATATCATACATATTTTGCGTCTCACTGATTTAATTCAAATCATACGTGTTAGGATATGGTGACAGAGAGTTGTGAAAATATGTGGGCATGTGAAGCGAACGATCTTTTTTTCTTTTTTAAAAATAATGTTGATAGTTCAAGTCATAATCTGTGATGGTGTACTAAAAAATCCCTATCAAACATTGGCCTGTTGATTGAATGAGTATGTCATTTTTTATTTTCATACAATATATTGATCGATGGAGTATGTATGTTTGTATTTTTAGCAAACTATAGTCTTGAGGATTGATTAGTTGAGAGCTTTTGATTGCTGATATATTCAGTAATTATTCCATGAAATAGGAATGATTGAGTAATTTGCATGTTGAATAAACCAAAAGATTGTGTGATTAGTGTGGGTCTACATTTTACATAGAATTTCTCTTCTTGTCTGGTAAATATTGATTTTTTTCATTTCACTGTGATAAAAATAATTTGTTGATTGAATTCTTCTTGGAAAATTGCGGTTTCCACAGTGTTTGCCTAAACAAAGCAACAAGCAAATAAGATGAAATACCTAACTAAATCTAAAAGAAGAAAAAAAAGTCTCCATTCACCTCCGGTGGGACTCGAACCCACAATCCCCGGTTTAGGAAACCGATGCCTTATCCATTAGGCCACGGAGGCAGATGATGAAAGGATTTTGTAGTCCTAAGATTATATTCTATTAATAAAAAAAACATCTGGCGTAAGTCATCTCAGCTTGGAGTCATGGTCATGTGGTCATGTGATATTCCAAGTAAGTTATAAAAGTATTAGGCTCTATGACAATTACCCCCGGCCAATAACCCCCTCAGCCAATTACCCTCCACGGACAATACCCCCCAGGCAAATTTACCAACTTATTATCAGGGAGACTTCGATCCTAAATGATAAGCAGGGGGCCGGTTAATTATCCTAGGGGGTAATAGTCCTAGTGGGTAATTTTTAATGGTTGGGGGTAATTTTCCATGCATACGGCGTACCCTAAATAACACTGAGTGGGGGGGGGGGAACCACACACCTACATAATGAACTTTACTGGCACAATTCATTAATGCATCTTACTCTATTATATTTATTTCTCTCTCTTTCTCTCTCTCTCTCTCCCCCCTCTCTCTCTCTCTCTCTCTCTATCTCTCTCTCTCTATCTCTCTCTCTGTAATAAACACGGCCACACACCTACATAATGAACTTAATTACTCTATATTACTCTATATATTTATTTCTACATATTATGATATGTATAATGCATTTCACGCGGGAGCAAAATTAATCGTAACTTTGATATGAAATTTCAAATAAGAATATTCTAAAATTAATTTGTTATATGCGGATTTCCACAGCGTTTGCCGAGAAAAAGTAAAAAAGGAAATAGAATAAAGTAACTAACTGAAAAAAACTAAAAGTAAAACTTATTCTGCTTCACCTCCGGTGGGACTCGAACCACAATCCCCGGTTTAGGAAACCGATGCCTTATCCATTAGGCCACGGAGGCAGATAACCCAATGGATAATCACCCCTTTCCCCTCCCAATTACCAGAAAAACAATTACCACCGAGGACAATTACCCCCCCGTAAAATCGCCCCCTTGCCCCTAGGACAATTACCCCCCAGAAAATTACCCCCAAGGATGACCATTCCTCCCCCCCCTCCTCCGAGGACAATTACCCCCGGACCATCTGAGACAGGTAGACAGGGTAGACTCCACCTATAATGAACAGGGAGTGGGTGGGGGTAATTTTCGGGGGAGGGGTAATTGTCCTCGGGTGTGGTTGTCCTTGGTTGTACTTTGTGGGGGGGGGGTAATAGTTCTAGGGGGTATTTTTCAATTTTCGGGGGTAATTGTCCTAGGGGGTAATTATCCGGTGAGGGTTATTGTCCGTAGGGGGGGGGGGGGTAGTTTCCGGAGGGTCGTTTTCCGGGTGGTAATTATCCAAGGGGTAGTTGTTCTGATGGATACAAAAATAAAAAATCTGTTCATTTGATTATCCACACAAGCACCTTTTTGTAAAATCCTTCCAGTCACTCCTTTCTTCTCTTACAATTACCCTCCCCCCCCCCGAAAAAGATCCTGTTGTAATTAATACCAACATATTTTCCGGGTAGACTTCCCCTATAATGAACAGGGGATAATTTTCGAAGGGTAATTGTCCTCGGGTATTGTTGCCTTGAATGTACGTTGGGGGATTATGCTATGGAAATATTTTCAATGGTGGGGAGGGGGGGGGGGGGGTAATTGTCCTAGGGTATATTGTCTAAAGGGTAATTGTCCCGATATGGAAACAAAATCTAAAAATCTGTTCACCTCCGGTGGGACTCGAACCCACAATCCCCGGTTTAGGAAACCGATGCCTTATCCATTAGGCCACGGAGGCGGATGTTAAAAATTGTTCCTATAGTCATAAGATTTTATTTAATGAACCATCTGGCGCTGGTCATACCAGCTTGGAGTCATGGTCATGTGATATTCGATATACGTCAAGGAGGTATTACAGCTGGAGGCTACGGAGGCAGTTGTTCAAAATGACTTATCATCCTATTCTAAACTGATAATAAATGATCCATCTGGCACTGGTCATCTCAGCTTACACTCATGGTCAAGTAATATTCTTATATTTATCATTACATGGAGGTATTGTAGAGTTCCAATTACTAGTAACTAAAATGCATCTGGCAGGATTGTTTTGCAAGGATAATGCACAATATATCACGAGAATGCTTCAATGCGTTTATATCTAAATTTCAACTTTCCGTTCTTCTTTAAAAATTGCGGATTTCCACAGCGTTTGACGAAACAAAGCAAGAACAAATATTAGATAAAAATATTAACTAAATAACTTAAAGGAAGAACAAATCTCCGTTCACCTCCGGGTTAGCCTTTTGACAAGGCCTCGTGACTCTGGCTAATTTCCACCAAAAGCTTAGCTGAGATGAGTCCAGAGACCCGGTACAGTTGAACTAGCCTCTTGTGTAGCGCTGTTGGAGTCCGTAAATTTTACGGACCCCGGCCCCCCCCCCCCCCCCCCCCCCTCCGGGGTCGGAATGACCGCATGCGTGTTACCAAAATGTCCGGTAAAGGGGTACTTTTCACGCACCAAAGTCCGGCTCGTACATTCACAAAATTGACTTTACACACCGGACTTAGGGGTATTTTCAAAAGGAGGGAACACGCATATGGGTACCTAAAAAACACTGAGTGGGGGGGTGGGGGGTTACGGACTCGATCCAGCAGCGCTAAGGCCATCGATAAGAGGCTAGGGGCGAACGCGCTATCGAGTGGCGCTAGCCACGAGGCCTTTTGCAATCTAGATTTTACTGCTCTGCATGATTTATTCATAACGTTGGATTTATTTACCAATCAGAACGGCCATCTCCTAGTTGGCTTCGTTCGATCGTGATTTGTTCATCATCAAAACATGCAACAAAAGGTCAAAGACGTATATAAGTTTTGCTTATGAGTCGAGGTGAATGATAGATAAAAAATATCACATTAAAATCTATTTTACATTCAAAATTACAATAAAATATGAAGCATTTGATGACTTATGCTAACAATCATAAGGGAGCGAATGGCACTTTCCCCTGTATATAAAATGAACCAGTCCAACTCGTTTTCGTTCCATGTAGAGGTCAGAGGTCTTAGCCCGTACGCCATTCTCGACGATACATCAATACTTTGACGTTAATTGATTCCTTCAAATTTACATAAATGTGGTGACGTGTCGGTAACGAACGGCAGGCTTCGATATCTACTCATTATAAAAAATAATCAAACAATATATTCTGCGGTCATACTTATTACAATAAGTGGATAAGGGATAAGGCATCGGTTTCCTAAACCGGGGATTGTGTGTTCAAGTCCCACCGGAGGTGCTGTAATTTTTTTATTTTTAAAAAAACTTTTTTTTAAATTCAGTTAGTTTTTTTAAT